TTTCAAGCCACCTGGATAGCCACTTGAGGTGGCTTAGGAAAGAAAAAGTCATATATTTTTTTCTCCCTCATATACTTCAAACCCCCTCCTCTCCTTTCAGTTATAGGTCCTTAAAGATTTTTGAAGCAGTTTCACAGTCCGCTCCAGCGCACAATAGTGTGCTGGCGACAACGCGCCGCCAAAGCACTCCCTTCCAAACATTTTCTTGTATTTTGCTTGCTCTGCTTGCTCTTTTGCTTGCTATTTTGCTCTCACTGATCCTTCCCATAGTGGGCAACATGATCTACACTACCCTAACGGGTCTAGTTCAGCCCCGCGAGAAAATGAGTTTCTTCTCTTTTTTGCAATGCACAACGATTGATCATAAAAGAGATCGCGAGCTTAAAATACTTGTCATAGATAGTCACTTGCTTCCATGATCTACCTAGAAAGGTAGCATTGATCAGTTATGATTTTCTGATATTTTCTGACTAGCTATAATTTTTTTAATTGCAGAACAGCCGTACCTCCAAATTTTGCGTCGCAGTGTGATATGCATTGATGCAATTGTTATTCGTAGGGCCACCTTCTGTAAGCAGAACTTGACAATGCGCTTATGCATTTGATGTTCGCGTGCGGTGGCTCTGTACAAATCTGGCTATATATGAGAGCGAGTGCGAATGCGACCGCGATTATTTGGTATCTAGCTTTTTTAAAGTTTTTTTCTGAGGTATTATATATCACAGAACGAGTATCGTAATTTTCTGGGGTTTTGGGAGGGATTTCGTTTTTGCATTTTCAACTATCCAACTCGTGCCAAGCCCTGCTTATTATAGTTATAAAGCCAGGCACATTTTTCCTCTGTTCATCGAGATTACGCAGTTAACACAATTCTGTATTCTGCTGTGCTTGGACAACAAGCGGTTGCGGTGCTGACAAGGTATTGCTCAAAAGGCGATGTGGCCATTCCAAACAAGTTTCGTATACTATGCGGCAGAATGCCACTCAAAATCTGTCTTCATCTGCTAAGCGCCTCAAGTCAAGTTAATAGCACTTTTATTGCAGGAAAATGGCACACCGAATTGTAAAACCTGACAAATGAATGCCATTTTAACCCATCTTCTGTCTTGAACTCATGACTTACACGCCTACAGAGACGTTCAGCAGGTAAAAAAGTAGATTTGCAATCAACGTTCTATGCCGCATCCAATGGTTTGCAGCTTGCCTGAATTATCCGCTTCAACTTCTGACCATTCAATTGTGAGTTGTACTTCTGGTACTTAGATGTAAAACTCACATACAGTCAAATTAAATGGTAGTTCTACTCTAAACTGATGAGACAAGCAAAACGCCTTGTTGAGCATAAGAACCTAGGCATTGACTCTATGTATATGCTCGTATCCCTAGACAGCTGCTGAAGTCAATGATTACTGCGAATTTTGCATTTCGATTATCTGTGGCAAATGAGTTGTGCTTCCTAGGCCATATGCACACCCCATACTTATTCATATAATTCACTTTGTCTCAAAACTTGGTGTTTAGTGATGCCAGGTTTTGGTATTGAAGCGTGTAAAGTGTATAAGTATAGAGTGGTCAAATATGAATCTTCCCACAAGTTCTTTGACGCATGTCGCCCTTATATCAATAGTTTGCTAAGACAGGGAGTCAATAAAGTCTCTCAAAAAATTATTGACTTCCAATTACTACATACAAAGTGAGAAAAGATTGGTTTCATAGGCAAAAGTGCTACATACGCTTTTTGCAAAATCAGGGCAACTAGCCGCTTCTATGCAGAAACTCTCGTCCTAAAACATAACTCCCCTCTCAGGGGCATTCCGCAGATACCGAAAACAGATCTGGAATCGAGGCTCCGTTCTCTGAGACAGTTTACATCATATTTGGGAAAACACTACTACCAAGTATCCTTTGCTAGCTAGAACGAATCTTGAAATCTTTTTTACCCTCTTCACCTTTCCGCCTCTCCTTTTTGGAAGAGAACAAGAAAGTGAAGCTAGTTGCCTTTTTCAATCAAATTAATTAACAATAATCCTTCTTTCGCATTTTCCAAGCAATCCTTGCTTAGAAGTTGTTTTTAAAGGTGTGAATCTTGGTACAATACCAGTTTTGTATCCAGTTACATACTCAGCCCGAAACAATTTCCCGATGCTCTGTCTTGTTCTTCGGACCTGTTACGGTGGATATTTTGTGGGAGGACTGCAACTTCGCAGCAGACGTTTAATTTAGGGAGCACAGCAAGTCGACTACCGTACGCTAGCAGATTATTATAGTGCAGTACAAAAAAATTAGCTGAACTAACCATAATATTCTGTTTCAAGATTCTGTGCATTGATGGAAGAAAAACGGTAACTGGCGTTGCAACTTCCTTTCTTTATATAGTCTCCAGACCGAGAATTTTTTGCTGCATCGGAAACGCCTCTGCAGCACACCAATTCCTACTTTGCTTTCCAACCAAAAAGGATTTTTGGAAAAAAATGCAGGTTCTAGCTTTCCAATCCGAAGTTCTCGGATTGATTTAAGAGCTATGACAATCGCTCTTTCGCAAATGTATGTGCAAAGTTTGATCCGGCTTTCAAAAAAAAATTCATCTGGAAAGACACATATAGTTACCTAAACAGAATACAAATTTCTTATATTTTTGAGTGGGCCCGGCAACTCATATGTGACTACATTCCAGTCATATCTTTTTTCTGTAAATGCTAGGCCTTAACTAGGAATAGTAAGGTTTGAATCTGCTAGGTTCTTGCTTGATAGGGTCATTTGCCACGCATGACTGCCACACTTTTTTGAAGTGCATCGCATTGCAAATATGCATATGACAGGTCAATATGAACAAAAGTAGCTGCGACGAGGAGTGTCGCCCCTCCTCACGGAAGAGCCGCAATGGTGTTTACCAAGAACGCCGCTTCCCTCGCCGCAGCGCCTTTAATGCGTAGAGCCCCAGGGCCGCATGCATAAACATCCCCGCCGAGGAGGCAATCACAGCATAAAAGAAAGCTTCATATCCCGAAGCTCCAGACATCTGGATTCACTCTTACTATCTAGCCATATGCATTCATACTACCCTTCACTATGAACATATTGACCAGGAACGAGAAGTTATACAAGCAGCATTTTTCACATTTTTGTATGATTTCCTGATAATCCTCGGCGCCAACCGTTTTTTTTCAAAGTCATTTTATTTTCGTCGAAGTTGAATGAAAGCCTCCTCAGGCAACGGATAGGACCCCTCCGCCGGATAAAATGGCAGGGTCGCGGCGTTTCCCCAGCGGTGGGTCTTCCATTTGTCCGGCGGAGCCCTCCCAATTCTCCGGCGGAGACCTCCCATTTCTGCTCCGGATACCTCCCATTTTCTGCTCCGGAGACCTCCCATTTTCTGCTCCGGATACCTCCCATTTTCTGCTCCGGATACCTTCCATTTTCTGCTCCGGAGCCCCCCGATTTTGTGCTCCGCAAGTCTGCCGCGGCATACTGTAATTGGCCCTAATTAAAGGCAGCTTCCAGGCAGATGTGGACCTATGGGGCTTTTATATGGAAAGTACTTTTGGGGCCCTAACTAAGGCACTGCCGAAGCAGCAGCTCAGGTAGTGCTGTAATGGCTGAGATATTCCCCTCGAAACAGACCCCGCGAACGTATTCGCATGGATTCATGGCAGTTTCGCGCCAGGATCCACGCATCCAAAGCGTGGATCCTGGCGCGAAACTGCCATGAATCCATGCGAAACACGGTCGCGGGGTCCAGTTTCGAGCACAATATCTCAGCCATTACAGCACTACCTGAGCTGCCGCTTGGGCAGTGCCTTAGTTAGGGCCCCAAAAGTACTTTCCACGTAAAAGCCCCATAGGTCCAGACCTGCCTGGACGCTGCCTTTAATAGGGGTTTTCAACCGGAAGCCATAAAGCCACCGCCAAACCCTGTCAAATGCTACGTGCCATATCGCCTCACTGTCTCTTCGCGCTGAAACCGTAGAAGCGAGCGGGCCACAAATATGGCACTAAGCGGGACGCCTGAACTGGCAGCGGGCTGACTGCTATAAGGTCTTCAGCGCGAAGCGAAAGCGGCGCCGATAGGGCACGAAGCTTTTGGTGGGTTTGGCGGTGGCTTTGTGGCTGCCAGCTGAGAGCCTTTGATTATCTGAGAATGGCGCGGTCTCGACACAGACTTCCGAGATATGTTAGGAGGCACTGAAAGCGTCAAAGTCTACCACGATCGGCCTCTTGGAGGCAGCGTCCACACAAATCTGGACACATGGAGATCGCGAGTGGGAAATGATTTTGGGTGCCTAACTAGAACACCGCCACTAGGGATGAGACATTCATCTCCAAACCCTCTGCTACCGTATCTAATGTTTTACGTGCAATCCATCAAGAGGACCGTGCGTCCCACAATAGCATGGACCTATGCAATTTCACCGCCACATACGTTATGGGGACAGGTTGGCTTGCTTATAGCGCTTGGTGTATTCGACTATGCAGTTGGTTTCTCCCTCTCGTCTAAGAAATCGCTAAGAAACTTTCTGAAGAGGTTATAAGCAGTCCGCGCAGCGCGCGGAGAGTGCGCAAGGTGTGTATTGCGCTTCACTCCCCTTTCCTCGTGCACTCTCGCCGCCTGTTTCCTCTGCGCTTCTTCCAATTGTAAACTACCTTCAATGTACGCAACAGCGTTGCTCTCCGTGCGCAGCGCGGACAGCATATAAACAATCTCCGCGTAGAACATCAGTAGTACGCCCATAAAACAGGCTGGGGCTGTGCCGAAATGCGGAGATAGGGCAATATTACTTTGCGGTAAGCTAGGCTCGATTCAATGCGTGCATCAATCGAAACCCACATTTCATACCAATATTACAAGCTGAAAAATCCAAACCCTTGTTTGATAGGTATCAAAGTAACATTGTACAAAAAGAACAACAACTTCTTGAGCATCGGATCTAGAAGTATTTCTTCGAGTCTTAAAGATATACAGTATTTACAAAATTCGCGAAATGAGATATGACAATCCAGTATTTCCTAGTTCGTCTCTATGGCAATCTCATTGACTAAAATCCCGGAATGGCTTATTTGCGAGAGGATTTTTGTATTCACGGACGGGTGAAGGCGGTCTAGAAATGACTAGTTTTAGACACAACATGCTCCGGATATCTACAACTAAGTACAGATACCATAGATTGTCGATGATCTACTATTAACCTGTACTTGTGACCAACCGGGACTGTAGTTGAAACGGTGGCAGCGGGCCAGGCGACGACAGGCGTAGGAACGCCGGGATGAAGAGTCATTGTGGTGTGTTGAACAGTGCTTATAGGTTGATAATACTGCGTTGTAGATGGCGCTGGAATGTGTCTTTTGTGAGGTAATCAGAAATAAGATTGAGAAAATGAAAAGAATTGGAAACTGAGAGAAGCGTGTCCGTCATAAATCAAAGAATGATATACTCACTGAGATGAACAGGTCCAACAAAGTAAAGACACTTAGTCTCACAAATCCACGCCAGAATTTGAAATCAACTAAGTACACCCTGTTTCTTGAGACTCTTCGCAGAACTACTCCCGTTACGCGGCCATTTCGCTGCCTTTGAAGTGTTGCAGAAGCAACAGCATTTGATGCCTTGAAAACAAAGCGAAGGCCAAAAGAGCGAGAGCCATGCCTATTACACCTAGGTAAATTCGCAATTTTTGGAATGACTGTCGAGATCCGGAGGGAATTCGAAATTCGGCCAACGAATTTGAAATCGGAAATTTCTAGTAACAGATTCAGAAACCACGAATATTTTGAAAAGCATTCAATCGTTTTGATTCAATGGTCAAATTTTTCAATTCGGTCCAAAGTATAGCAAGTTCAGAAAGGACGCTGGTATAGAGACCATAACTACCAAAAGACAATGCTGTGAAAGCTTACCGACAAATGTTGTAGTAGGATGCAAACCTGAGATAATTTGAAAACAACTTTTCAAAATCTAATAACCACCAAATCAAAAAGCAGTTCCAAGAAACTAACTCACCAAGTGCAGGAAGGTAATGCTGAGGAGTAGCCATCAGTTTGGGATCCGGTAATTCACCACCTGAAGTCGTTGGATGATGATCGTCTTTTTACAACAGAATGAGATATCAAATATATAGAGCTCACATTACGGGGACACAAAGTCCATCCAGAAAATGCTTTTAAAAAGATCAAAAACTGTTGATTGAGGATAAGATGGGAAGTTAACAAAACGGGTAAACTTACTTTGAGCCTTTCTAAAATTTTCGATGACATATGGTAAGAAGGTGTTGTCTTTCATGTGCACGGTCACTAAAGCCATTAAAAATTCCATTGGCATCACGTCATCAAGCAGTTGTCCTGAAATCGTACTACAGGAAAAAAGACAAAATGAGTGACACAGACTTACCTAAAATCGAGTCCACATTCGCAGGACCAGCTATAGCACTAGCTGCCTCAGACTGAACAAGCGCAGCGACTCTTGCCTTTCTAAGCAGTAATCACTGCATGAATTAATTCAAAAGATAAGACATAAAAAAGAGCTTACTTCTCGAATACTTCTTTTTCCCACTGCAGAAACTGCTGCACATACTTGTTATAAGATTCAGTATCGATTTGTCGGCTAAAAGAAAGGAAGAAGATGGTAAACCATGCCATATTTCATAACGAAAACATATAGTCGAAACACAGCAATCAAAAACATCATGATACCTGTTATCAAGCTTCCACTTCTCAAAGTTTGCTTTTTGTTCAGCATGCTGCCTGAGGTAGCAATAAACGGATTATTTAGACGATACTTTCATCAGAACAACACTAGATAATCTAGATTAGCGCGCATTTAAGATCTCACAGCGTGGCTACGCGCCAAATCGATACGCAGCTTGCTCCGGGGCCCTCCCATTTCTGCTCCGGATACCTCCCATTTTCTGCTCCGGATACCTCCCATTTTCTGCTCCGGATACCTCCCTTTTTCTGCTCCGGATACCTCCCATTTTCTGCTCCGGATACCTCCCATTTTCTGCTCCGGAGGCCTCCCATTTCTGCTCCGGACCCCTCCGATTTTCTCCGGCGCGGCTCTTCCAAATCTGGCGGACTCGCGCCGGGCAAATTTCTCCGGCGCGAGTCCGCCAAATCTGGCAGAGTCGCGCCGGAAAAATGGCGTACCTTTGCAGCAGGGCCGGAGAAGCCTCCCATTTGCCTGCCAGTAATGTCACCGCGACGGACCGCCCATTTGCCCCTCTCTCATTGGTCAACTGGGTCCGGCGCGACTCTGGCAGATTCGGACTGTCCGGCGGAGGGGTCCGATCGATTGTCTGAGTCTAGAAGTTGTGCTGATTATCTAACACTATAGTACTAGAATTGTCATGTTTCTGATAAGAACAGATGATATATCGAAGTCACGAAGATTGCGATGAAAAACAAGTCGAAATTAACTTGGTACTTTGCACCCACCGTGGCCGGTCGTGTCGCACCCCCCTCCGCCAACCGTTCCGGATTCCTTCTCCTCCCTCAACTTATGGGTCTGCAAGCTGTTCTTCTTTTGTCGTCCTGCGGCCCCACACCCACGACTACCTCTCTACGTCGTCGGAGCCTCCTATTCTTCTGTGGCGGTGTTTTATTTCTAGAATTCCTGATTCCCCAGTGCTGCGCTATCCGTTCGGCGCTAACCATTGATTTCCTATATCTGCCTATGATCTCCATGTCGTCACCGCTACGTTCATCTTCCGTCCCGGTCAAAAGAGGTCGCTTCGAAGCTTCTTCCCCTGCGCTAGACCCCCACTGAGCGCCTCAGGGCAATTACTACCGAAGAAGCTATTCCTACTTATTTAAAGTTGCTGGTCGATATTCTTCTGGAAACGAAGCGGGAGATCAGTGACCTCAATCAAAAAATGGATGCGATCATGAAGGAAAATCAGGACCTCAAAGAGGAGAACCGTAAGTTACGCATGGAATCCCCTTCTGATAACGATCTTGAGATGAAGCGCTCCATCGTCGTCGCTGGTGTACCCGAGTTAAATTCGCCCCTTCCTTCTCAGAATTGTTTCCATGACTACAACTGCACTTTGGCCCTCTGGATTTTTGAATGTGGAATGTCTCCCATCTTCCGTTTATCGTATGGGAAGGAAGAATCCCCAAAAGCCGCGTCTTTTGAAAGTCGTTTTACCTGCGAGTATATACCAAAAGCAAATGGTCACTCGTGCCCCTAAGCTGAAGTTTTTCTCCGATAAGGGGGTTTTCGTCCGTCCTTCCTTGCCGAAGGAGGTCAGAGCCCGTCTCAGAGAGGAACGTCAGTCCAAATCTCATACCAGCACTAAATCCAATGAGCATCAGGATCTTTCCATTGTATCTTCTATTGCTTTATCGTCACAGAATCATGATTCTGTGTCTATGTCTTCTCCTTCTGCTGGTGTTTCGAAAAACTGAATGCTTATCCTCGGCCTTTTATCTCGATTGTTTTGTTGTTTATCCAATGTGCGTTCTTTGGTCAGAAATGCGGACGACCTAATTTTGAGAATTTGCAAAGAGCATTATGACGTCATATTTCTTACTGAAACTTGGCTCAAACCAAGGAATGAGATAGCTTCCCTTCTGGGTGTTGTGTCATCTACTTACTCTAGTTATAGATGTGATAGAAGCCGTCGTAAAGGGGGTGGAGTTACCATTCTGATCCAAAAAACTTTGTCCTTGAATGTCATTTTTTCTGAATCGATAACTGCATCTCATGAAATCCTCGTGTGTGATCTCTTGATCTCTGGGCAATCTATACGCTTTATTTTGGTCTACAGGGTTCCTGATTGCAGTGCTAGTAATTTTATCACGCTCACTAAGGCGCTTAGTGATTTTTCGACTTTTGAAGGACCTACGATTTTGCTGGGAGATTTCAATCTTCCACATAATGATTTCTTTTCTCTAAAGAGATCGGCTCACGCAAATTCCAGTGAAGTGTTTTCAAGTTACATCACCACACATGCTTTTGTTCGTTTCAGTACGTTCTTGAGCCAACTAGAGGACATTCAACTCTTGACTTTATTTTTTGTAATCGTGATAACATTGTGGGTGATGTTGCCACCTCCGCCCCGATTGGAGCCAGTGATCACGCTTCGGTCAAATTCTCCCTATATGTGCCATACAAACCTGCATGTCCAAGGTTTGTGAGGGACTTTAAAGAAGTCAATTATTCTGTCGTCCGGGAATACCTGTCAAGTATTGATTGGGTAGGCTGCTTCATGCCTTTAACACGTTGACGACGAGCCATTTTTTGAAGGTCTGTCCCTGTGGACGAACCGTTTCCGGGCATTTTCACAGCAGGCTGCACATGTATATGCATGCATCTATGCGTGAGATACACAAATGCAAGTGGGCGGGGCAGCTCCGCCCACTTTTGGCAAGCCCCGCCCACTTCTCAAAAATGCTTGAAATTGCTCAAAATCAATGAATTCGCGCAAATTCCGGCATTTTTGAAAAGTGGGCGGAGCTTGACACTGAGGGGGTGGAGCCTGCATTACGGGGAGCGGGGTCAAAATTAAGATTATTTGAGGTTCCCCTATCATCTATGAGCTTTTCTATGTGATTTGAGAACGAAGAAAGTTTTTTGTAGAGGGCAATGGAGTGGGCGGAGTTTGCCAAAAAGGGGACGGGGCCAACATGAAATACTTTCGAGCCTAACTCAATCATATGAACACAAATTGGGACCATTGTGCACATTAAAACTGATGTTTAGGGTGTCGCGCACCATTGCGCGACATCGTCCACAGGGACAGACTGCCTGTCGCGCACCATTGCGCGACACCGTCGTCAACGTGTTAAGCTCTGTCAATGATATGTATGAACTTTTTCTCGCTGTTCTGCAGCATGCGGTAGAAATGTTTGTCCCATTACGTGAAGTCCATGAAAGTCAACATAGACTACCAGCCTATCTAATCAATATGATCAATAAGCGTGATCGGCTTTGGACATCAGCTGTTCGTAGTGGAGAAACTGAAGCATGGAGGGCTTTTGAGAATTTCAATAAAAAAGTTCTCAAGGCTTCGAACAAGTACCATGTCAATCTTGAGAAAAAACTTATTATGTCAAAAAATGTAAATGGCTTCTTTCGTTACATGAGGTCACACCTTAGTGACAAGACATTCAACTATCCCTTGGTTGATAACTCTGGCCTGGCTTTATCCTTAAACAAGTATAAGGCAAACCTCTTAGCTCAAGAATTTGTAAAGGTCTATGGTCGTAATTCATTTGTAGAATTAAACCCTTCTCCTCGGTATCCGGACATGGACAAAACAGTTTGGTTTCCTAGAGAAAAAATCATTCGCATCCTTGAAAAATGTCTTAGCTCTTTCTCCGTAACCCCGGATGGAGTTCCCCTATTTTTTGTTAAAAAAGTTCTGCCCGAGCTTGGTTTTGCTTTGGAATATCTTTTCAACTTATCTTATATGAGAGGGGAAGTACCTCAAAGGTGGAAACATTTCCTTGTTACTCCTATCCCCAAAAAACCGCCGTATAAAGATCCAAAAAATTATCGACCCATAAGCATAAGGTCTATTTTTGCACGTACATTCGAAAAAATCTTGAAGGAACATATTACTTCCCATCTCGAAAAACACTCCATCATCCCTCCTAGTCAGCATGGATTTTGTAAAGGTAGATCTGTTGAGACCGCTATGCTAACTGCCATGAATGACTGGACCTCAGAAGCTGATAAGCGTCACCAAACAGATGTCGTATTTCTTGACTTTTCCAAAGCATTCGATAAAGTTCCTACTTTCAGACTGTTGTCCAAGCTCAGGATGGTTGGAGTTCAGGGTTTGACGTGCAAATGGATTGAGAATTTTTTGATCAATCGTACTTTCCAAGTTCGGGTTTGTGATGATTACTCCAAAATTCACTCCATTTCCAGTGGAGTGCTTCAGGGTGGAGTCTTATCCCCCCTCTTGTTTCTCATTTACACTTTTGACTTACCCCAACTTATTGAAAGCAGGGGTGTTGGTTGTGTCATGTATGCGGATGATATAAAAATCTACAAGGTCATCCATAGCACATCCGACGTTGAAGCTTTACAGTCATGTATTGGCATGGTGTGTCAGTGGTCTGAGAACTATGAGTTACCCCTAGCTCCACTGAAAACCAAAGTTATGTCCTTGGGAGTTGAAAAAGTCAAATCTTCCTATACTATCAGTGGATATGATTTGACCCGTATCCATGAAGTAAAAGATTTGGGCTTTACTTTCTCCAGTAAGCTTCAGTTTACCGCCCACTACAACAGCATTGTTTCCAAAGCACTTTTCCGGACTTATAACCTTTTCAAGACACTGCGAACCTCGAACCCTGGAGTCTTAATTAAAGCATACAAGATGTATGTTCGCCCTATCGTTGAATTTGGTACAACGGTAATTTCGCCTTATAAAGTTCAAGATGTAAATGCCGTTGAAGGGGTTCAGAATAATTTTACAAGAAAAGTGTTTTTGAGGATAATAGGTCCAAACTATGCTCTGATTCCTAGGAGTGAGGAACGTAGAAGAATATTATGTCTACCTAGTTTGGCCTCTAGAAGGAAAAAATTCGATCTTTCTATGGCATTAAAAATATTAGACGGTGGCTGCAAGATTGATTTCTCGAAATTTTTCGTCATTTCTTTCTCCAGAACTAGAGGATCTTCGCTTAAATTGAGAGTTCCCTCAGCCAAGACTCTCCTTCGTTCGAAATTCTTTACCCTTAGAGTATTGGCGGATTTAAATAGACTACTTGGTCAAGGTGCTCTCTGTCAAAAGTTGGCAAAATGCTGTTCTCTTGCCAGTCGTCCTCATTCCTGATTGGGATTTTGTTTCTGCATATTTGTTGTCATTGTTTGCGTTCCATTTTTCTGCTGTTTCATTTCTGTTTTCCTCTGTTTGTTTTTGTTTTTTAGCTTATCGTTTTCCTATATTTTTTTGTTTTTGTTTGATGTTCTCTACTTTGTTATTTTTCTTCAGCAGATACTCGACTGCTCAGGTTCATCTTTTCTGGATTTACCTCACGTGTTGGTTATAACGCGTATCAATAAAGAATAAAGAATACATTTGGGGTTGACCAAGAATTAAAATATTTCAACAGCTCATTCATTTTCATCAGAAACTTGCCTAGTGCTGTTGGGTGGGATAAGGGGTACAACTTCAAAATGTTCTCAGCGATTCTGAGGAAAGAAAAACGACCCCGAAGAAAAGACGGTTCGTCGCGGGGGACCGTCAAGGAATCATACAAAACGCTGGAAAATGCGGCTTGTACAAGTTTCGCTTTTGTCAAATATGTACATATTGAAGAATATAGGAATAATTACGGATATATAGAGTAGACAGCGTATAATCTAGTTGTCTGGAGCTTCAAGAAACGAAGCTTTTTATTGACCTGCGATCCCCTTCATAGCGGGGATGTTAATGCATGCGGTCCTTAGCATTATAAATCACCCCTTCACATAAAGTCTTTGGCGCTTTGTAGTTTTCGGCACAATTTCGTAGTTCATTCGCCAAAACCTTTTTTGGAGGAAGTCGTTCCTCAGGTTGAGCGGGAATTGGTTGAAATGGTGTTCAATATGGTGTAGGCCAATTCGCACGACCGTAATGCCTTCAGGGACTTTCTACACAGGACCACCGTGCGCGCAATACGTTCGCGACGACTTTTGTCTGAGGCTGGGTTTATACTGATTTCCATGTTCCGGGACTGTGCTGCATGCGCTGCAGCAGCCACGCAAGCGTTATGAACGGCGGGAATTGGGAAATCTTGACCATTTTTAACGGTTTTTCTTCCGGATCCCTCTCATTTTGGCCTTATTCCTTTACCCCGCTTTTCTTTATGATCAACGGAACTTCGAACTCGAAGCGGGGTTGAAGAATGAGCGCTTTTCCGCTCTGCGTTTGCGACAAAATGTGTGCTGTTGCGCTCGTCCATTTTCTCTTCGCTTTATTTTTATTCAGACTTACTCCACTTGTTGCAGGAAGCCGCTGCGTAAGCCACAGTCGTATGCCATTAGGGAGTGCGAGCTATTCTGAAATCGCATAAATTGGAATTCTTCTCTAGTTTTCTGATGAGTTTCATTTTTGGGCATTCTCAGCCCTTTTCCTTTTTCCGTATCGTTGCTTCTTCGCTTGTTCTTCTACCCGGCTTCTACTTGTAATGGGAAAAGCTGTGAACTTGAAGCGGGGTTCAGGATTAAACCCTGTTCTGCTCCATGTATTTGAGAAGAAGGTCTTTGTGCGCTCGTCCATTTTCTCTTCGCTATTTTTGTTCACGCTACTTCATGTGTTCTAGAGACCTGTCAGTGTCCCTTTCAGTACAGATGCGAGACTACGCAGCGCCTTTCTAGAACACATGAAGTAGGTCAAAACAAAAATAGCGTAGAGAGAATGGACGAGCGCACGAAGGTCCATATTCCCGAATACATGGAGCAGGGCGGTCGGGTAAGTGGCAGCAAAGGCCTGCCGCTTCTGCTTATGGAAGTACCTGAGGCGCTTCAGACTTCCTTGCGTGTACCTTATATGATCTACGCCCAATTGTTCGCAAACTTTTCGAACGCAGGAGATTGCGAGATATAGGTTCTATAATTCAAATTCATAGTAAATGAAATAGTAAGTTCTGAAAGGCTCATAGATTAGTTTCATTCAACAAAATGCAAGTATAATTTGGGGCCGCATGCACTAAGCTGCTATCCCTACCGCTGGGGGGGGGGGGGGGGATTGCAGTTTAGAAGCTTCATATCCTGAAGCTCCAGATATCTGGTTTCTACGATGTTTTCGTAAGTATTCCTACCTCCCTTCGTTATGAACATATTGAAAGGAGCGAGAAGCTGTACAAACCGCATTTTCCAGCATTTTGTATAGTCCCATGATGAGCAGCCGACCGTCTTTTTTTAAAAGTCATTTTTCTTCTTTCGACGAACTCAACGAAAACCTTTCAAATGTACTGATTGTCTAACCCAACAGTGCTAAGCATGTTGCTGATAAGAACTGATGAGTTTTTGGGGCATCGATTTTTTCGGTAAACACCAACTTTCGACTTGTGGTTCATCGCAGTTTTATAATTTCGAGACATCACTTGTTCTTACCAGAAGAATGATTAGACTATTGAGTTAGATAAACAGCACAACTTTGGAAGGCTTTTATTGACTTCGAAAAAATGAAAAATGACTTCAAAGAAATGACGGTCTGCAGCTGGGGATCTCAGGGAATTATTCAAAAAACTGGAAAATGCGGCTTGTACTAGCTCCTTGCTCCCGCGCGATATGTTCATAGTGCAGAATGGTGTGAATACTTAAGGATAGGTAGACAGGTGAAATCCACATACGTGGAGCTTCAGGTAATGAAGCTTTCTTTTATGCTGCGATCTCCTCCTCAGTGGGAATGTTAATCTTCGAGCCGAAATCATGAACATAATCTCGTAAATGTTCCTTATCTTAATCAATCGATGACTTTAAGATAAGTAGCATTTAGTTCTCGGCAGAGACTTACCCCTTTCTACTCCATGAATTTTGAAGAAAACTGCCCTGAACCGATATCTCTGCAAGTTGGAACCGATTATTGCTGAGATTGAAGAAAATAGCCAGATTTCCAACTTGATTTAGAGTAAAACAGTCTTTCAAAGAATTTTCGCTTGTCTCTGCTTGTAAAGTGGTTAAAGGTGCGAAGAGTGGTTAGAGGCGCGAGTCTGGAGCTTCCGAGGCACTTCCAGAGCAAAGGCAGCTAGCCTTTGCTACCTCCTGCCTGACCATGAAGCAGAACAGCGTTCAATTTTCAACCCCGCTTCAAATTCACAGCTGTTCTCATTATAAGGGAAAGCGGGGGGTAGAAGAAAGAAGAATAAGCAATGATCTGGAAAAAGGAAAGAAGCTGAGAATGCCCAAAATCGAAACTCATCAGAAAACTAGAGAAAAATTCCAATTTATGCAACTTCAGAATTGTTCGCGCTCCCTAATTCGTGGCAGATGGCTGTGGAAACTACGCGGCGGCTTTCTGCAACAAATGGAATAGGTCTGACAAGGAAACGATACTCGGTGTCCATGGCCTTTTAAGATGAGTTGTATACCATTACACTTGTCTTGAAACGCTGATTCCGAATCTGACTTCCGTTTCTGCTAATCATTTTAAAGATGTTATAAAGGATTGTGCGCGCTTTGGCTGCCCACTGAAATACGTTCGGCGCGCCAGCAGCAACGGTGCGGTGTGGTCTAGTGGTTAGTGCGATAGGCTCATGAGTTGATGCAGGTGTAGGTTCGGGTCCTTTTGTGTTTTTCAGTTTTGCATTGCCTCAATATACCTTCTTTCGCATCTTCGAGCTAACTGGACGCCCTTACTCTTCAAAAAACGTGGAAATTTAGAAAAATGATTACTATTTGCGCTAAAATGTATTCAATGATCATAACTCGAGTAAATCTCGAACAAGTTTGATTGAGCCAGTGCAACAAAAACACAAAAGGATTTGAACCTACACCTGCATCAAGTTATGAGGCTATCACACTAACCACTATACAATAACCTGGCGCTGGTAGGAGGCGTTCGGGTGACCATAACCTTGGGCGGTAGTTGGCTCAAAATTCCTCCATAACTTTTTTCAAAGAAACGATTAGCAGAAACGGAAGTCAAATTCGGAATCAGCGTTTGAAGACGAGTGTAATGGTATACTTCTCGTTTCAAAAGGCCACGGACATTGAGTATCTTTCCCTTGTGAGTAATAATGAAGCGAAGAGAAAATGGACAAGCCCAAGAACACACATTTTGTCGGAAACGCAGAGCAGAAAAGCGCTCATTTCAACCCCGCTTCGAGATCGAAGTTTTGCTGATCAAAAAGGGAAGCGAGGCAAAGGACTAGGGCCAAAATGTGAAAAATCTGGAAGAAAAACCGTCGAAAACGGTCAAAATTCTTCAACTCCCGCCGTTCAAGCGTGCGGGGCGGCTGCAGCGCATGCAGCACAGCTCCGGAACACTTCCAGCACAGTGCGGTGAACTGTGCGGGATCAGCTCCGGAACATGGGAATCAGTATGAACCCAGCCTAAGCAAAGCAGAGGGC